TGTTGCCCAGTTCTCTTTCTGACCTTCACTGACAAAGATGTTGCCTGATTCTCTTTCTACCTTCAATGACAAAGATATGCTGCTTCATTCTCTTTCTGACCTTCACTGACAAAGAAATGTTTCCCAGTTCTCTTTCTGACCTTTGCTGACAAAGAAATGTTGCCTAGTTCTTTCTGACCTTCACTGACAAAGAAATGTTGCCTAGTTCTTTCAGACCATCACTGACAAAGATATGTTGCCTAATTCTCTTTCCGACCTTCGCTAACAAAGAAATGTTGACTAGTTCTTTCTGACCTTCACTGACAAAGAAATGTTGCCTAGTTCTCTTTCTGACCTTTGCTGTCAAAGAAATGCTGCATAACATAATTTTTATTTGTGGAAGGAAGTTCACCATACAGGCAAGGAGCAACCATACAGAAATGTAAGTCAATTGCTATTTAATTCACCAGCCAGGAACAGACTCCCTGTTCTAGAAGTGCAGATATCTTTTTCTTCTTCTCTAGTCCTGTTCTGCCTTTCAGCATCAGGTTTTTATAATAGGCATTTAGTGCCAGCCTTAGTATCCATGGCTACGGATAACCAATCTATTCACTGGTTGCCTTGTCGACCTCTAGCTCTGCTTGCTAGACATCAGTATGCCATATCTGATTATATTCTAGGCATTCTCGAGATCAAGAGCTGCCACTACCATCTCCTGTCTATTCAGGACAACTCAAAAACATCAAAAGCAAAAGTTTATTTCCCTGACCATCAAGTGACCAGGCATCTTGGCAGGAGTTCTTCCTTTTCTTAATCTTTTCAACCCAACCTTCCTTTTCTAAAACCATTTGTGGTTTAACATCAGTAACTTTCTCTAGCACTTTTCCAAAAGCATTTTTTTTAGTATGCTTGGGCGAGAACGACTTAAAAAAATAGGATTTTCCAGACAGAATGAGTTAAATTAATAAATGGAGTACAATAGTTTAGTTTAACAATTGGACATGACATGAGGAGTTAAGAATAATATAAGTAGAAAGAATAATGTAAGTAGAAAGAATAATGTAAGTAGAAAGAATAATGTAAGTAGAAAGAATAATGTAAGTAGAAAGAATAATGTAAGTAGAAAGAATAATGTAAGTAGAAAGAATAATGTAAGTAGAAAGAATAATGTAAGTAGAAAGAATAATGTAAGTAGAAAGAATAATGTAAGTAGAACCAAACCAATGAATGGTAATCAATGAGTTAACATGGCGACACTGCAGACTTACTTTTTATTTATTTTCTTTGGTTATTTTTAATAAAGTTTGCGAAAATCATATAACAAATATCTAATCAATACTTCAAACAAGGCAAAAATGGTGAATTTAACATTTGAGAAGGAAGCGAAACTAACAAATGCACTTAAAATTTAATCAATAATTGAGGAAGGTAGTAGAAAAATCATTTCATTAGGACTTAAGGAAAATTCATTGAGCTTCAAGCTTAGATAAAATAAATATCCCATGGAAAAACTCAGCAAATAACAATAAGCTGCTCTTCTCTACCCCAACAACTTCTTAGCAGCAACAACAATCTATCTTATTTATGAATATAATATATTTTGAACAACACAACATTTCTGATTCTCAAGTAGAAACAAAAGTAAACAAGTTAAGGACCCTTGTCCTGCCAGTTGAGTATTAGGCATAAGATGCTAAACATACATTTTAGTAGTCCAGTTATCATTAGGTTGAATGCTTAATTAAGAATCGACATCCCAGCACTCAGTACACTCCCATTAGCCCTCCGTCTCTAACTTCAGCAACAAGTGAAGAGTTCCTATCCCAATGGCACCAGTAACTGACTGACTATATCTGTCTAGCCTTTTCTTTGAGTCTTGTCATCACTAGGTGATGCGGTCAGATTTACGCCAGGCATCTTATGACATAACCTGGTACCTATTTTAGGCTGGATTGAGCCAGCAGCCACGGTCAATTTTAAGAAGAAATAAATTCAGTATGGATTTCCCCAAAACCTTTGAGCCAATAAGCAAGGACTAGCCACTATGCTACTGCATCAAGTATAGGGTCTTCATATATTTTATGTCATGATATTTGAAGTTGGAGGCCAATTCTAGCCACGATCAAATTTCCTTATCAGATTTCTTTTTTTTCTTCTGGCTTTTATCTCCTTATGGAGCAAAAGCCCTTAGCCCATTCACTCAAAGACTACTGGACTTTCCAAAACATTCTGAAAAATGGTATCCATTTCTCTGAGGGTGGGTCGACAACATAGCCATTATCATCATAAACCACTTCATCCACTTAGTGTCCTGGGAAGGAACAAATTGAGATCCAGTGCACGCTGGCTGGCACAGGCTATTGTCATGCCATGGAGGTGTAAAGTGCCTTAAAAGTTGTCGATCCATATTTGTTTCGTGGTTGTCCTCTTGCTCTTTAGCTGATCTACTGAGATGTAGTGCCACTGATAGTATTTGATTTTTCTGCATTCTTACAAGGTCAAACCACAAGATCTGTCGTTTCTCGATGAATCTAGTATAAAGTATTGTTCCCATAATCCGCATGACAGTATCATTATTTACTTGATCGAGGATGGTTAGGCTGGCGGGTATTCTCAGACATCTCATCTCGCACAAGGTGGTTTTGCATACACAGGCTTTAGATAATGTCCATGTTTGGCACTGGTAGCTCAATTTTGGTATGAATATAGAGTTCATAATGATTGTTTCTGCACCCATAGTTATGTTTGGATGTTAGTTAGTTGGGTTATCATCATTGTACTCCGGACATGTCCATAGGTGCTCAGATCCTCCCCTCAGTATGAACCCCAACGTCCGATGGCTAATAGTACCAGTTCTATGTTGATTAACAAGTCTTCTGATGTGTCTGGTGTGCGTCTCGGTTTTTGCTGTGCCGATCTTAATTCCCAAGTCTGCTATTCTGGCGAGTGATGTGGATTCACAGCCACCAAAGTCCTCTATCCTTCTCATTTCTCTGAGGGCATTGATAATATCAGCATGATCCATAGGCTGACCGTCGGTAGTGATAGCGGATCCAGCCAACCTGTCAGCTCTTTCATTGTTTGGATGTCTTCTTAATGATGACAGTTAGTATATATATGCACTTGCTTTCTGACATCTGGGAGCCACTGTAGTGTAGTGGCTAGACGCTCACCTGCAGAGCGGAAGGTCCTGGGTTTGGGTCATAGTGGTACCAGACTTTTTTCTTCAAAAATTACTTTGTCTTCCAGGTAGTCTGGTAGTCTTAGTTTCAGCTTCATAGCAAACGGGTCGCCCCATCTTTGCTCTGCTCCTGTGCCAGCGAAAAACACACAGAATGTTTATCACAGTCCCTTGTGGAAAGATTGACAGACTGCTGTCTCAACATACCTAGCATACACTCGCATTAAAGCATACAGTAGCCATCCGAAGTGCTAACACAAACAGTCCAACATTAGAAATGCAGTTCATCATTGATGATAGCAGAACTTGTTGCCAACAGATCAGCAGTTGCCCACGTGATCAATTTTAATAACATACGGGCACTGCCAACATTGCACGACAGGCATCGCACCATTTTCTGAATCTACAATTCACACCAACACGTTAGTCACAGTCAAAAAAACATTCCAAATGCAATCCGCAGCTCACAGTGTCACACCATGCATTCAACTCAGAAGCTGGGCGACGAAACTATATCCAGTCTACAAATGGAGCAAAAATACATGGGCCACCATCCAGCAGAAGCAAAACATTTGCCTCTGCTTCGAACAGTGCCGCTGCCTAACGTCCATTTTAACCGGAAGAGGTCTTCCAGGTCTACCCAGCAGGTGGAGTCATGAGAATATGGCCGATGTGATGTTGACCACATCTTCTAATGTGTGCTGATTGATCTAGAAAATAAAGGTGTAGCCCTGTATGCCATGAAGGCATGAGAAAGGGTACTACCTTCTGGTATCTGGTTCTTGTTTCTCTGTCAATTCTGCCATTTTCTGTGACAAAATGTCCAAGATATTTAAATTTTCCAAATTATTTCAGCCCAGAACTATTCAGCTGTATATGCAGTGGACCAGGATTTCTCCTGAATTGCACTGTTTTGGTTTTGTTTGCATTGATCTTCTTACTAACTGGAAAAATTATAACATTAAAAGGAACAGAACCCAGATCACTGCTTTGAAGAACAAGCACCTCAAATACTCTGTGAGTGCAATCCCGAAGATCTTCTTCCTCTTCTTCTTCTCTTCCACCATTTACATCAGCGAGGTGTTGGAGGGAAATGTAACGATTGCTAGTGCGCTTTTTTCCAATGTATTGTAAAAGTTGGTGTACATTTCTGTTAGGTTGCTCCTGATGATGTCACTCAATGTCTTGCATGGTCTTTCCCTGCAGGTCTTTAGCGTTGCTCTCTGTGGCAGTTGGTACCAGGGCATTCTTGTCAGGTGACCAAACCATCTCACTTGTTGTTCTTTCAACAACTGTATGACTGGTTTCAGTCCGCCCTCTTCTAATTTCTTCATCCTTGATTTTATCTTCTCTTCTCACACCGATCCTGATGACTGAGTAACTCTCCATGTGGATTCCGGGTCCCATCATGGGGAAAACAAAAAACAGACTGTCTCCCCAACAAATATGTTGTAAGAGTTGATTAACTAGGGTCTTCCTTTGAAGTCAGAGTGCATCTGCCTGAGAGGCAAGGAACCAGCAATCTGCATACAAATAAGCCAGATCTGTAAAACGGATGTGCCTGCAACATTCAGGTTGTGGAAGAAGTCTGGAAGTGGAGGAACAACCAGAGATTTTCAACACAGTTTACAGCCAGTGAATGTGAAGAAGAAGAAGAAGAAGAGTTACAAAAATATAAGGTGGTTTCATTAAACAGGGACTACTGAAAAACATTTGATGGTTTGCTCAAATATTTCTATTACTCTTACATTCTAACACCCTGCAATGTATCTAGCCTCAACTTGCTCGACAATATACTAACAGACAAGCACAACAATTTTACTTAAACAGCAACGTGCATTTATTCTATAAGCTTTTTCGCCTTAAAATATCTCCTCAGGTAGAGAACTTGCCAGGTTGCCAGTCCCAGAAGGCAAAACATGGAGAATATACTGAAGTACATTACACGAGAGTGAGTGGACTCTGTGGAGGGAGAACAAAATGATACACAAAAATTAAAGACTCATAAATGTATGTCGGATAAAACTAAAAAAAAAAAACATATACTGTATAGCAAATTTTTAAAATAAATTGTTGTGTATCCAAAATATGACCAATCTCAGCATTTTTGGCTATTTAGGGTTTTTGTAAAGCAATTTTAACCCTTTTGCACTGTTAATGCTAAAACAAAAAATTTAGTCAAGGTCCCTCTTGGAATTCTTGAAAGAAATCATTTAAAACAATTTTATATGGGTCACTACTAATTTTAAACAAAAAAATTTAACTACATTCCTCTCACAAAATATATAGAGATTTAATAGCTGTAATCAATAAACACTAAACACTGAAGCTTTAAATGAAATAAATTCTTGGAGGCCTAACGGACACATATATCAGGTGACTCTTGCCATGACCTCATGACCTCTATCAATAAGGCTTGCTGGAAAATTTGAGGTCAACTTGGCTTTAAAAAAAAACCATTTGCTTTTAAGGAAAAACTTTAAATGTTATTTTTTGTTAATATATTCACATCATGACTCACGAACATTTGCACAGGCGTGAACACAGCTAAAAGCATCAACTACAATTCTCTTAAACGGGTCACTACACACAGGTCAGAAAAGTGGCATTATTGAGGAATTGACCCTAACCAGAAGTGTACATTCTGACGTTTCTTGTGGCGACAGGGTTAAGTTCAGTAGTCTACCATTCTTTTCCTGAATGGTCGGCAATCTATACCATTGTCAAAATCACCACAAACGGTCTGCTGTCAAATCACCTGCTGCTGGATCAAACCAGGTATTTGGGAATTACAAAGCGCATATGCAACCCCCAAGCCACAGACACAAACAATAAATAATAAAGTGTTTTTAAAAAAAAAACTAGATTCTCCTTCCTAGTGCTCACCGGCTGTAAACTCCAGCAGAAAGTTCTGGTTGTTCGTCCACTTCTGGACTTTAGTCAAGTTCCGGAACCTGAGTTTTGTGTGCAAATCAATTTCACAAATCTGGCTTATTAATGCTCATACTGTTGGTTCCTTGCATCTCAGGCAGATGCACTCCAAATTTGAAGGAAAACTCACTAATTAGCCAGCTTTTATGATATGATTGTTGGGGGAGGGGGGAAGGCAGTGGGTCTATTCTTTTCTTCTCCCCCTATAATAGGGCCCCTGAAACCCCCACAGGGAGAAAGGGTATTCAAACAAATGGCCACAGTGCTGCTATATAACTCCCTACCCACACAGGGAGAAAGGGTATTCAAACAAATGGCCACAGTGCTGCTATAACTTCCCACCCACACAGGGAGAAAGGGTATTCAAACATATGGCCACAGTGCTTCTATATAACTCCCTCCCCACACAGGGAGAAAGGGTATTCAAACATGTGGCCACAGTGCTGCTATATAACTCCCTACCCACACAGGGAGAAAGGGTATTCAAACATATGGCCACAGTGCTGCTATAACTCCCTACCCACACAGGGAGAAAGGGTATTCAAACATATGGCCACAGTGCTGCTATAAATCCCTACCCACACAGGGAGAAAGGGTATTCAAACATATGGCCACAGTGCTGCTATAACTCCCTACCCACACAGGGAGAAAGGGTATTCAAACATATGGCCACAGTGCTGCTATAACTCCCTACTCACACAGGGAGAAATTGTATTCAAACATGTGGCCACAGTGCTGCTATAACTTCCCACCCACACAGGGAGAAAGGGTATCAAACATGTGGCCACAGTGCTGCTTTATAACTCCCTACCCACACAGAGAGAAAGGGTATTCAAACATATAGCCACAGTGCTGCTATATAACTACCTACCCACACAGGAAGAAAGGGTATTCAAACATATGGCCACAGTGCTGCTATAACTCCCTACCCACACAGGGAGAAAGGGTCACACAGGAAGAAAGGGTATTCAAACATATGGCCACAGTGCTGCTATATAACTCCCTACCCACACAGGGAGAAAGGGTATTCAAACATGTGGCCACAGTGCTGCTATATAACTCCCTACCCACACAGGGAGAAAGGGTATTCAAACATGTGGCCACAGTGCTGCTATAACTCCCTCAAAAAAGTAGAGCTGTACATTTGTTACTAACTTGTTAAAACTGCGATATGAAACTCCCAATAACACAGTACTTAATGTTTCCCATCAATGACTATGATCTGGTTAATTTTGTCAAATGGAAGGAAGTATAATTCTCATATGGAATTATACGTCAGGGCAAATTGGGACATCTTGTCAGAACCTTCCGACCTCATCTAAGTGTGGTCACTGCACTGACTTTCCATAAACAAAACTGTCACGCTGCACTGACATTTTATAAATAATATTGTTACAATGTAACGACGTTTTATAAATAAAATTGTTACCATTGGTATTTCTCATTTCTTCCTCGCGATGCCTCATGTACGCAAAATCATCAGCAATGGATAAGGACAAGTCTTCTAATCTTCTCAGTTCAACTTCCAGTGGTTTTAACTGTTCAGCTTTAGCAATCTAAAGAAAAACAGTACAACATGAAACAAACTGGCTTCAACTGTTCAGCTTTAGCAATCTAACGATATACACATAAAAAATGAAACATATGGGCTTCAACTGTTCATCTTTAGCAATCTAATGATATACACATAAAAAATGAAACATACGGGCTTCAACTGTTCATCTTTAGCAATCTAACGATATACACATAAAAAATGAAACATACGGGCTTCAACTGTCATCTTTAGCAATCTAACGATATACACATAAGAAATGAAACACACGGGCTTCAATTGTTCATCTCTAGCAATCTAACGATAGACACATTTAAAAAATTAACACAAACTAGATTCAACTGTTCAGCTTTAGCAATCTAATGAAAGATACACAAAGCTTGAAACAAACTGGTTGATTGGTCTGCTGTTTGGCTAAGTGGTATTTGATTAACTCGTTGGATAGGTGGTCAACTGGTAGGTTGGCTGTTAGCTTGGACTGGTGGTAGGTTAAAAAGGATGTTGGTTGTTAGGTTGGGTGGTTGCTTGGTAAATTGGCTGGGGGTTTAGATAATTGATAAATTGGCAGGTTGCTTAGATAGGTTGTTGCTTGGTAAGCTGGCTAGGGGTTTAGACAATTGATAAGTTGCCTGATTGGTTGCTTAGACAGGTGGTTGGTTGGTAAGTTGTCTGGATGCTCAGACAGGGAGTTGATTGGTTGTTTGGTTTGTTGGATAGTTCCTTGCAAAAATTAAAAAGTAAAGGACTCTTTTTTTCACACTTTCAGTTTCCAACTTGCAACATTCACACCAAATGAACAGGTCTGGACATGTGTTAAGACTACCACAAGATAGTGCACCACATGGAGCCCTTCCCGTTTTTTAGACACAACAGAAGCAGAGTTACAGGTCACCCACGCAAGTGAAAGAATATCTGAGGCCACGAATACCAGCATCTCTGTAGCATACACCAATGCTTGCACCAGATGCCTCTTCAAAATCTGACCCTGAAAGGCAGAACAGGGTGTAGAAAACAGAAAACAAGGAATACTCACATCTTCGTAGTTTTTGGCTTCGACCCCATGCTTGACACTGAGATACACCTCTCTTTCTGGAGCTATTCCTCCTTGAAAACATTTTCAAAACAACAGAATTAATAAATAATTTTAGTAAAGTAGAGATCTAACAGAAGTATAACAACCTGAGTCATTATCAGATGGCCTGCCCATGGATCACGCAGACATTGTTAATGCCCTTAAAGAGATAGGACGTTCCCGGGATTTTAGAAGCAACGTGTCCATGTCGCTGCTAAGAATACAAGAATTTGGAGTAAAGATCGGCACAGGCAAGCATGTGAAGTACACCGGACGCATATGAAGTCTTGTCAACCAGCATTGGACTGGCACCATAAGCTGTGTGACACTAAGCACCTATGGACGTGTCTGGAGTGCTGAGAAGATAATCTGACTCATAACCCATAACCTATTGTGTCATTACACACAAGTTCCCCAGTCTATTTCTCAATCCTATTCCGTGCAGTTTTTAATGGAACTGGTCCAGCTCTTCTAAACTTTCTCAAATTTCATCACTGGGTTCTCTTTTGACACCCTTGCTTTCCCCTGATTTTTTTTTTTTTTTTGTATTCATAAATGGAGGCGTTGTCGGCTAGACGCTCGCCTGTGGATTGGAAGGTCGTGGGTTCACGTCCTGACGGAGCCGGAATTTTTTCAACAATGACCTCGACTCCCACGTTGATCCAGCCTTGAGTGGGTACTGGGCGCAGTCCCGGGAAGTAAAGGCAGCTGGCATGATGCTGACTGACCACATCACCCATCTTGTGCCGACTGGTCTATAAAACTATATTCCCAATACGCCTAAAGGCATGGAAAAGAGACCGTTACTTTTTATTTAGAAATGGACCAGAGAGTACCGATATTTACTCCATCCCAAGAAGCTTAGCAAGACAGTATGGTAAAGCATGCATCCGGCATGGCTTCCCACTTTTTTGGTCCCAACAATGAGGCCAATGGTAACGGACATGTGAACCTTTCTGCCAATTAGTAGGACTATTTTCGGTCTGACATTTAAGACTGTTGCAGCGCCATAGGACATGCATCTGATGGAAATCTGTGCCGAATCAGCTCACTGACAGTTGCAGATTGTCATAGTGTGCCTCAGCACGGTGACGACACTGCTGACGGACATCAAAGGATGTGTGGAGATAGCAAGTTAACACCCGCAAGAGATGTTGCTCGTCTAGCCTGCCTCTTTAGAAATGCATTCCTTTTGTGTTCTGTAAAGCTTTGTGCAGTGGATGGTTAATGTCTGCTGATGCCCTCGTGTACACCTTGACCTGTGAAACTTTGAGCCTGTTAGTCATTGTCAGCTAACCCCGGACTTATCACATGGCATGGCAGGAAGTGTCATTTAATTAATATATTCATATCTGGGCTTACTAAACACTACGCAGGCGCACACTGAACCATTTATTTTCCCATTGGCTACAGTGGTTGGCTACTGGGTGACATGGTCACAGGGTCAAGTGTCACACTACAATTAGTTTACTGGCCCCCAGAGAGGTAAGCCAGCTGATTCAATGCTGCATTTATTTTTACTGGTTACTTCCTTTACTTTATAGTGTTTATTCCTGTTTTGGATGATAAATTGGTGACAAGTGTAAATTGACTGGGTTTTTTTTTCTAAAGGATCCCCCCCCCCCTTTTTTTTCCCACTAAATTTCAGGAAAAACTTAAAAGTATAGGAGCTTGAGTTTTTTTCTTCCTAGGTTACCATGGCGAAAGGATTAAGATAGTAACACTGGGTCAGAAGGAGTAAAGCGTTATTGAGATTGTGACAAAGGAGTCACAAATGCATAAGGTCTTTGAATGGCACCAAAAGAATTAAACAAGCAAGGTTGACCTTTTGGCAGTAGCCATTTTGCCAAGTGTGAGGCCTTTGCAAATTTAACAGGTAGACATGAGACAGATTCAGTTCTTAGCAACCTTTCCTTCTCGAGCAATTCTGAAAACTACCTGGTACTACTTTTGTGCGTAATAAATTTGCCCGGCTCTCTAGTGTAGTTGGTTAAAGCTGAGATCGCGGTAACCAGGTGACGAACTCCTTGTGGTCCGGGTTCACTCCCGGGGGTAGGCAGAAAAGCTTTCTCCCAGATTTACGGTACCTATCATGGAATCAAGGCCGAAGGGTTGCGATATCGATAGTACCAAGCCAAAGGGTTAAGAACTCATGGTTTCTGGATATTTTTTTTTTTAAATGCGTAATAAATTATAGCTAAAAATTAAACAAACAACTAAATTAAAGTAAGATTTAACTAGGAAAACAACAAATAAAAGAAAAATACTACATGTACTAAGCGTACCCATTGCCTTGGATATAAAACAAATTTCATACTGGTCATATTCGTCAGTGGTAAAAGCAAATCGACCTTTAATGGCATTTTCCTTTGAGTACAAAGTGTGGCTTCTCAAATCTGTTACCTGCAAGTATAACAGTGCCAGATAAAGCAATGGTTACATTTCTTTTAAAATTATAGGAATATTATGAGAGTTTAAGAGCAGCAGCTGCTCGAACAATTAACAAAGCTAGGTTCTTATGCAGGAGATCTGAGTTTAAATCTTTGGTACGAATGCGGATTTTTTTTCGGTGGGGAGGGGGGATAAAACTAACATTTGTGGCGACAGCACTATCTATGCCGCCCTATATCCTTGGGCTCAAAGACTCACTGCTTACACCACAAAAGTGGTAAATACAGGCAATAGTGGCAGTTAAAAGGGTGCTTGCTTGTTTTAACAAATTACCACCCAAGTAAAAAAAAAATTTTAAATAACAGCCAGATAGCGGAATAATGAAAAATAAGACCAGGTCGGTCAGTCGGCCAATAATAATACAAACCTTGAGATTGGCTGGCTGGTCTTCGTACCAGACACTCGGACTGTTTCAGTTTCTCACATTTCCTGCACAGCTGGGCCTTTTAATGGTGGCATTGATGAATTTGTTGTGTTCAGTAATTTCACACTGATTTGTGTGTGTGTGTTCCAAGAGAGTCGACATTGAGAATAATATAATATCCTTAGCAAGCCCAATTTCTCCCATCTTAGTAGTGAATCCGAAAATGAAACTGGTGAAAACAAACAGGAAAGTAATGGAGAAGATCAAAATCAAGACGGTGAGGTGATGATAATGTTGTGAACACTTGGTTAAGGATTAGAGATACTGAACTAGATAGAGATACCCCTATGAATTCTTAGAGTATGCAGGTCATAGAAATATACCACAAGGCTTAACTAAGCACTAGAGTAGTACAGTGACATAATTTAAGCTGTTATTCACAATGTTAACAGATCTCATTCAAATATTTATTAGAAGAAAGACCAATAAGTATGCTGCCAACTTTCTAAGGAACACGCAGCTCAGGAGAGGGTAGCACAGGACACAATCGACTTCGCAGCCACATGTACACAAAATTTAAGATTGGCGAATCAGCCATGTGCACAAGTGGACTGGCACCTAAGACAACATATCAAGGGAAAACTTTTGGCCAAGAGCAACATTGGTGGTGCAAGTCAAACTTTACGGGTCGCTGAGTAAATTACAAAAGACAGTGAAGTTCATGCTAGAGACAACATTGCAGATATAGATAATATATTTGAAGCGAACAGAAGAAGAAGAGAAGAAGCTTTTCAAAACACAAGTTTAAGATTTATTCAGGCTTCATCACTTCATCCATCTGAAAATTTACCAAATGCTTTCAAAGTAGTCATGCTTGTCCGTTCCTAAGATTTTTTTTAAATACATCCATAAATTATTATAATTATTATGAACAAATTATGCAAATCAGAATTATTGTTAATAAATAGCTAGTAAGTTGAATAAATGTTGAGATTTCAGTTTTATTATAATTCATAAATAAAGATTGAGCTAGTGTTAGTTCATTCAGTTCCCTAAAAGAATATACAAAGTTTAGCTCTCCTTTGAATCAACCCCCAAAATGGCGGCATGCCACATTCTGGCCATAAAATATCCAAAAATATCTGAACGACGGTGTTCGAGTATATCTAAAATACAGACTTTCTGCCAAGGAACAAATCGCGGCAAAACTAGGATTACTTGACAATATGAACATTGTACACGGTAGTAGTAGCAGACGAAAATACCGACAGTTTCTGCAGATGATAGTAGCAGCAGACGATAATTTTGAGCATTTCTGCAGACCATACAAATGCTCTGACAGGGTCTCGGCAATACGTTACTTGCCGACCTGCTTCTGCGAGTGTGCCTCACCACCGAGCGTATCTCCCGCGCCGCTATACGCGGATGGGGACTAAGCTAGGTGCCTGGGACTCATGAGTACAGTAATTGGAGGAAGTTGCAGGAGATGCGGTAGCTGCTACTCGTGCGTAGCAGTGCGGGGGATACGCTCGACGGTGACGCACACTCGCAGAAGCAGGTCGGCAAGTAACAAATCGCCGAGACCCTGTCAGAGCATTTGTTTCCATATCCGGAGCCGGCACATATATTTTTAATAGAACTGACCCACATTCGGATATTTTATGGCAAGAAATTGGCCAATTTAGCTCTCTTTCGAACGCCATCATATTAAAGCCGCCATTTTGGTGGTTGATTCAAAGGAGAACCCAAAGTTTAATAAATGTTAATTAAATACTTTATTTCGTATAATGTACTGTGTATGCAAATTAAGTGAATCCCCTCTCAAGGCCTCTGCAGAGTTCCGGTTTGTCTTCTTTTTACTGAAACTCCAAAAATAAGGTTCCGCCTCCAATCCCAACAATCAATTCAAAGGGAAGCGGGAAGGGAAGGGCTAAAGTTGTTAAATTAAAAAAAAAAATAATAATAAAGAAATGTTCATTATTAATAATAATGTTTGTATTACTTACTAGTCCGCTGATCTAATTCAACTAATTTTCTCATAGGCAACTAAAGTGACCAAAAGACTTACGGTTAGGTCAACTCTCTGTCCATTGTCTTGAACTTCATACTCGCCGGTAACAAGCACATCTTTATGAATCTCTTCACGAAGGCACTTCTTTTGATTGGAGGCAAGATTGAAACCGATCCCTTCAACACACAACAGACATGCCGCTAAGATCGTCAATATATAGAATGTAAAATGTTGGATCTCCATTGTATCAGATATATCCTAGAAAATATAACTCGGATATTGCAGAATATTAACTTTTCCTGCCTATGCCTGGTATGACAGGATCATGTTATTTGTGTATTTGTACTGTTTATTCTAACGTTAACGTGGCGTTCAGAAACCGGTTCTACTTTTTAACAGTTTCCTACAGTACAGCACAGCACAAACAGGAAATGTGTCCAAACTTTACGGTCTCTGAGGGAATTATAAGTGGCGAGACAATATTGCAGATAGATAATCTATTTCAAACGAACGAAAGAAGAAAGGAAATGGATGCATAAAAAAAAGTAAAGGTCAATTTCTTGTATATGACATCAAACGCCTCCCTATCCGGACCTAGGTTACTTTATAACCGCCGGGGTCCTCATAAAACTAAAACCTTACGGTTGAACGCGGTTTCTGTATGTTGTACCTGGGGATTCTCCTCCGAATAGGGTCACTTTGCGTCACCGGGTGTTAATCGCTAGTGTGGGGTTGAACTTCACTCACAAAGTGCATTTACACTAGAAGTGGCGCATCGGGTATTTTATGCTAGACCCCCGACATGTGATATTGTCAACATCATACCAGTCGCCTTTACTTCCCATGACTTTACCTCTTATATATTAAGGCTGGGTTGACCTGAAAGTCAAGGGCATGTACGAAAAAATAATCCAGCATCATGCGGATTCGAACCCCCGACCTTGGGATCTGCAGGTCAGCATCTAGCCGCTTTACCTCCGCGGCTCCAAATTCAGTGCATGAAGATTCTTAATTCACTCAGTGAGGTGTCGTCTCCACAATGGGTCTCTGAAAGGAGGTTGGCATATGTATGCCTTTCGGTCCAATACATCCAATCTCAGCTAATATAATTCTGAAAAGACGAAGTGCTTGCACCGAGCTTGATACTTTATTCTTTGGCAAACGAAGAGGCGGGAAAATAGGGAGTGGAAGTGAAAGAATAAAGAGGAGAGCAGTTGCCAGAAAAAACTGGAGAAACAGACAAACAGGCTGAACTTTTAATAGTATGCTACTGGAACTGCCGCAGTGTGATGCAAATAGAGTCAGTTTTAGAAAGATTACGTCTTTGGAAACCTACTGCTGCCAGGGATTAAGATGGTGATGTGTACGTGTCTATGATACAGTAGTTACTTCAATCCATCTGGACAATAAAAACGTGTTCAAACTATACTATTAAGAAATGGAGTAGGTAGGAAGTTGTACCCCACCAGGACATCACACAAGCGATAAACACCAGGTGTCACAAAGTTCCACCATGCGGGTAAGGATCGCACGTGGAAAGGTCAAAGAAACCCCTTTCAGCCGTTAGGCCATATTTATTTTCCGGCAGAAGCCAGGGTGGGGCTTCAAATATCAAAACATTGCATCCCACATGGTGACGACTTTAAAAAAAATGGAGTACAAATTTAGCACTTTATATGAGTCCGTGAAACTAGGTCAGTAAGGAATTACAAGGTATGCATACAGTAGGTCAATTCTGCCCCCACCTCCCCCCAAATCCCAACCCATGGAGCCCTGGAACCCACATAGGGATGGTAGAAAATAGGTTGGGTGGGGCCTTGGAAAACGTATTTGTGGAATGAGAGTGCGCCTACATCAATCAAGACAAACCTACAAGGATAGCAATGAGGTTAGGAGACGCATACACTGCAATTAGTTTCGCTCTGGTCTCTCTGACTAAGGAGCCAGACACTGGACAGTACTAGAGGATCGTGGAAGTGATCATATATCCTGTTATCTACGTTAGGCAAGACCATACTGAGAAAGGCGGGAAAGTCGTCAAATATGAGAAAACAGAATCGTTCATTGGTCGTCCCGGCATTACGAAGCGTTCGCATCGACTTAGCCACAGAGCCGACGGAATCAATTAAACAGTGAAATAATATAGACAAACATTCATATCCGGAGAGACTGATTCCGCTGGGTGTGAGTAGAGGGGCTGAAAAATTTTCTACCCGGAGAGGGCTCGGGGTGTTTAAATCAGCCGGCACCATCAATATTGGAACTTTTCCTTGGATACCGAGGAAGGAGTCGGAGACACGCTGCATACAATAAATCTCCATCACTGTCTCACTGCTTCTTCCTCAAAATCCATGCCCTGTGGCTTTGGTAGTCCTGTCTGTCCACAACCTTCTGTCTCGTATGCTTTCAGTCAACTCTGACACAGATGATCCTCCATGTCAGTGATGTCAGACTGTCCAGTATCTGTTCTCTCGGTCTCTATTTGCCTCTTTTGCACTCCAACATTCCTACCATCACGATGTACTCCAGTTTTCTCCTTCTCAGCGCATGACCAAAGAATGCAGACTGTCCCTTTCTGATGTGGAGAATCAGTTCTCTTCGTGAATCAGTTTCTTTCAGGACATTCTCCTTTTATCTGTCCAGGGTGCTCTCATCATTCGTCTATAAAACCACATCTCTGCAGCTTCCAAATAATTTTTCACTAATCTATGAACCGTCCATGATTTCCTTCCAAATATCAAGACATGATTTATATAGCTTTCAAGAATTCTCTCTCTCTCTCTCTCTCTCTCTCTCTCTCTCTCTCTCTCACCTCTCAATTGACTAAGAAAGATTGCTTGTAATATTCTTCATACTGGTTATACAGTCTGTCAAAGGCAGCTAGCTGTTCATCCATATCTTATGCTATGTCTATATGATCCTCTTATGTCAATAGACGTGTGTCTCTTGCCTAGAACTTCGCCATCGAGTCTGGTTCTTATAAATGTTGTGTCTTTTAATGAGTTGAGTTGGTTTAAGAACAGACATAATATAATTCGGGACATTCGCATAAACGCACCGCCCCATATTTAGCAGCCAGCGTAGGGTTCCAATTCCGATGACACAAGTAGCAGATTGTAGCTCCATCCTGCTTTTCTTCTGAGTGTTACATGTCGGCCAGATGCTTCTGTGCCACTGACTGCTGAAGTCTCTTTAGATCTTAACGATCTACACGTCTTTGTGCTTCCGCAATCTTCACTAATGTTTTTTTTAAACGCATTCAGTACCAAACAGTCAGTTTATGCTTACTGATGTGGTTGAGCTTACAAGCAATAGACTTGTTTTTAAAAAGTTGGACAGAGACACAATATGGAAGGAGTAGTTAAGTTAAAACAAATTCGTCTGTGATAGATGATAACAAGTAAAGGACCCATTTTCCACGGCACTCTGTGGGTGATGTGGTGAATATCACGGCGGCCGCCTTTACTTCCCAAAACTGTACTTGGTACCCATTTAAAGCTGGGTCGCCCTGAGAACCAAGGTCATTTTTTTTTTTAAAAAAAGTCACGACCTGAACCCAGGACAGAAGACAATAAGAGCACAGTATTATAATTGTAATGACAAAGAGAAGTAAGATGGATGGTTTGGTATAGAAAGGGTTAATGTGACCGAGATATTCGGGAGCCATTTGAAATTGGTTGTATATCCTTTGCACCCATGTTCTTCAACCTGTGGTCCGCTGGTTGGTGCCAAAAAGTTATGTCTTTCAGAAACAACGCCCTAGCCATGTATATCAACTGGCCTAACCTCAGTACAGCAGCAGATGCAGCATTGTACTTTTCCAACACCTTTCTTCTTTTTCTTCTTCACTTCTTTTACCGCTTCGGGTGTCAAGTGAGATATACGCTTCTGCTTGTTGTTCTTCCGACCGCCTCGATGGCCCCATCTTGGTGTTGTAAAGTTTCTCTGATTTTTCAATTTTGTTTTTGGTCTACCTTGTGCTCTACGTCCTTCTCCTCTTTTTGTGTAGGCTATGCCTTATTTGGCATGGTATTACAAGGCATTTTCTCTCTAACTTGACAAATAATTTGATCTGTTGTCTTTGTATATAATTTAGAATTGATTATATGCCAACTTGTATGACCTCATTCCTGATTTTATCTCTTCTGGTCACTCAAGCAGTCCTTTGACAGATTTGTTCTACGGATACTAATTTTCTGTCCTGGTTTGTTGTGGGTGACAAATGTCTGGTACTGTTAGTACAGGATGAAGAGAAGGGGGTGGGGGATACGTATGTGATGTTTCTTTGTGCTGATGGGGATTGTCTTATTTATGCTGTAAAGGTGGGTTGGAGGCTAGCTGTCTAAACACTTGGCTTACTTGACTGCATCAGAGATCAATTTCTTCGTCTAATTCCCCAATATTCGGTGAATGTTCTTCCTAAGGTTACAAATCTAAGAAGAAGATTCACCAAATATTGGGGAAACTGGACGAAGAAATTAACACTTAGATTTGCAACCTCAGATGCTTGTTTAAAAACTTTGCATTCTACTGCTATATTTAGGTTCTGTTTCTTTCCTCCTGTTGACATTATTTCTGTCTTTTCACAGGTGATTTATATAGTATTTGTTTTACATACTTCATTCACGGATGTGAGATGTTGCAATCCATAGCTGTATCTGCTATCTAGGCCTAGCCATCAGTAAAAAATACCCCCGTGTGGGTTCCGGGGCCCCATTGTGGGGAAAACAAGAATAGACCCACTGCCTCCCCAAAAGCATGTCGTAAGAGTCGACTAATTGGGAAGCTTCCTTTGAAGTCGGAGTGCATCTGCCGGAGAGGCAAGGAACCAACAGTCTGTATTCAAGAGAATGAGATCTGTAAAACTGATGCACACGCAACACTCATGTTCTGGAGCAGGACTGCAGTTCAGTAGTGGACGAACAACCAGAACCTTCCGCCAGAGTTTACAGCTGGTGAACGTGAAGAAGAAGAAGAAGTAAAAAATAATTTACTGACGTTACTAATATTTTTGTTCCTGGGTTTGGCATCTTTGCCCATACTGTCGATGTAGATGATAAACAGCAGGGGTCATTCAGAAGTCACATCCATTTTAAAACACTGAGAGTAATACCGGACTGCAAAATATTTCTCTCTACTGCCGGTGTGCATGTATAAAAAATACCTAAGATTCCCTGTCTGTGGCCTAGGTGTTGCCAGTGCACTTCATAATTCCTTGATGCTGGGTTCCATCTCAAGTGCGG